CAGGCTGCTCCCGAAGGCAGATGCAAGCCATGAATATTCATGCGAAGGTGACCAAATCCCGCGTGTCCAGCGACAAAGAATGGAGCTTTTCTTACAGAATGGAAAATTTTATCCCCGGAGTTGAAAGTGAGGGTGGGGAATCAGCTGAACATCAGGGTCAGGGTGACCCCGGGGCCAGCGGGGCTCAGAATGGTGCTCACACAACAGGGAGGAGGAGCAGATGGGTGATAATCACCTTGTGCTTTGCTTTGCCGGGTTACTCGATTTCTGCTCCTTGATAAAAACATTCTGGGCTGATCCCACATCCCGGGCTGATCCCCCAGCGTGGGCAGAGGGCAGGGGGGGATTCTGCCCCTCTGCCCCTGTCTCAGCTGAAACCCCCCTGCAGAGCTGCTCCAGCCCTGGGAACAACAGCACAAGGACGTGGAGCTGCTGGAGAGAGTCCAGAGGAGGCCCCGGAGCTGCTGCCAGGGCTGGAGCCCCTCTGCTCTGGAGCCAGGCTGGGAGAGCTGGGGGGGTTCCCCTGGAGAAGGGAAGGCTCCAGGGAGAGCTGAGAGCCCCCTGAAGGGCCTAAAGGGGCTCATAAAAAAGAGGGAGAGTGACTTTTTTACACAGGCAGATAGTGATGGGACAAAGGGGAATGATTTTAAACTAAGAGGAGAGATTTAGATTAGAGGCTAGGAAGAAATTCTTTACTCAGAGGGTGGTGAGGCCCTGGCCCAGGTTGGGCAGAGAAGCTGTAGCTGCCCCTGGATCCCTGGAAGTGTCCAAGACCAGCTTGGACAGGGTTTGGAGCAACCTGGGCTAGTGGAAGGTGTCCCTGCCCCTGGCAGGGGGTGGAATGAGATGGTCTTTAAGGTCCCTTCCAACCCAAACCATTCAGTGATTCCATGACTGATTATAAATTCCCATCTCTGTGCTCAACCCCCTTGTATCATAAACCAGTGCACTGAGCAGCATTCTCACACCAGAGGAAATCAGACTTTGTTTCAGAGATCTTTATTTGTGGTAACACCATTCCCTGATAGAGCACTCAGGATTGATAGTGGGACTGGTGTCACCCATAGCAGTTCTCATCCTGTAATTAAAGCCATTAAGGGTCGTTGCCAGCCACTCTCTCTTGGACCACTGGTGTTTAATCCTGTTTAACAATCTCAGCTGAGACAGAGCAATAGTTACCACTGACTTCAGGAATATTGGCTCAGTCCCCCACAGCACCAGCCCCACTAATTTGAAGGATAACAGTAATCCTCTTAGCTGGGAACAGCGGTGGATGGTGGGATCCCCTGATTCCACACGGGAGCTGGGTTTGTATCACACACTGAGCATTCCCAGAGCCACAGGCAGCTCATCCCAGAGGTCTGAACTCCAGAGCAGTTTAAATCAGCGATGATCTGCTCCTCAGCAGCCATCAGGGTGATGCCTTAAGGGATTGCCCCTGTTTTGCCATGAGGGATTGCTGGAAGCTCCAGCCTTCTCCAGGGATGTTCCAGCTCATGCCTCTGCAGAGCAGCCAGAGGAGGCTGTGCTGTGCTTCCCCATGATCCAGCTCCTAATCCATCCCCTGGGGCGGGATTCCCCTGCTATTTCAACCCCCTTTCCTTCTATTGCTGTCCCGTGTCTTTGCCTCTTGCTCCTCGGAAAGCTTCTACCAGATCTCCGTGGTGACAGCCATCGGATTTCCTCGTGGTGTCAACACATCCAGAGCGACACCCATCTGGTCTCACAGGGTCCTGGGTTTGGGAACCACAGGCATGATGGGCAGGAGCTGGGGAATTCCACGTGGGCTAGTCAAGCTGGAGCACAAGTCTGATGAGAAGCGGCTGAGGGAGCTGGGGGGGCTCAGCCTGGAGAAAAGGAGGCTCAGGGGGGACCTTCTGGCTCTGCAACTCCCTGACAGGAGGGGGGGGCGGGGGGGGGTCGGGCTCTGCTCCCAGGGAACAAGGGACAGGAGGAGAGGAAACAGCTTTAAATTGCACCAGAAGAGGTTTAGTTTGGATATTGGGGAAATTTTTTTCATGGAAAGGGGTGTCCAGCCCTGGCACAGCTGCCCAGGGCAGTGGTGGGGCCCCATCCCTGGGGGTATTTAAAATCCCTGTGGATGTGGCATTTGGAGACATGGGTCAGTGGTGGCCTTGGCAGTGCTGGGGGATGGTTGGACTGGATGATCCGTAAGGTCTTTTCCTACCTTAACAATTCTTAACGATTCTAAATTTTCACCAAGCTCTCCTTGCCCCTCCTGCATTGTTCCAGTCAGGGAGTTATTTTGTCCCTTTCTCATTTAAATAAGTGACAATACAGGTGTCCCTGCCCTCATCAGGGGGGTTGGAACAAGATAATCTTTAAGGTCCCTTCCAACCCAAACCATTCCACTATTCCATGTTATTCAGACCAGCAGCTTTCAACCTTCCCAAGCAGCGGTGAGGGAGGCCCGAGGTGTGCTCCTACAATCCGAGTGGATTATTTATATCTCAGAAGAAGAAACAACAAAAACAAATGCAGAAACCCACGGTGGCATCCACAGCCTGGGCTTGCTCCCGCTTTTCATCCCACCGTGTCCCTGGCAGAGCGTGGGATTCCCGTGCAAGGACAGCTCTGCTGCACCTGATAACGGGGTTGGGAACTGGGAACGGGACCTTCCAGCGCCCGTTTTCACAACACAAATTAACAACAACAACAACCAGCTGCTTCCAAAGGAAGGATTTGCACTGAGAGGGGCAGCGTTGAACGGTGAGGAGACCTTGACATCCCAGGATGTTTCTGCAGGATAACGGTGTTTTCCAGGGGAAGCTCCGCTGTGTCCTTGGGAGCAGAGGCCTCTTGGGTCACACAGCTCAGGGAGGATGCAGAGCAGCTCAGCAGCGGGTGGGATGGTTCAAGCTCAAAGGTGGTTTGGTGTCAGCAGGAGCTTCCTTTGGGAGCACAGTCAATGGCACATTTTAAGGTGGAGGTGACATTGTTTCTGGGGCTGAAGGACAGGATGGGGCAGGAGGAGCAGAGGGTCATCCCTCAGGGGGTAGGGGATGCCTCTGCTTGGGGCAGTGACACAGGTTTGTTCCTGCTGGGGGGTCACAGTGGTGTCACTGCCATGGGGTTGTGTCCCCTCGTGGGGGAGGACATGAGGACCCTGTTATAGGGCTGTGTCAGTCATGGTGGGTGTCACGGCCATGGGGCTGTGCCCTCTTGCAGGGGAGGACACGGGATCCCTGCCATGGGGCTGTGTCAGTCATGGTGGGTGTTACAGCCATGGGGCTGTGCCCTCTTGCAGGGGAGAACACGGGATCCCTGCCATGGGGCTGTGTCAGTCATGGTGGGTGTCACAGCCATGGGGCTGTGCCCTCTTGCAGGGGAGGTCAAGGGATCCCTGCCATGGGGCTGTGTCCCCTGATGGTGGCTGTCACCACCATGGGGGCTGTGTCCCACCACAGTAGTTGTCATAGCCATGGACTGTGTCCTCTCACAGGGTAGGACCCGGTGTCCATGCCAGTAGGGTGTGCCCCTCATGGTGAGTGCCATGGCCATGGGGCTGTGTTCCTTGCAGGGAACGGTGTCCCTGTCATGGTGGTTGTGTCCCCTCATGTGGGACAAGGACACAGGGGCCTTTCTGTAGAGCTGTGTCACGACCACAGGGCTGTATCCTCTTATGGTGGAGGACAAGGAATCCTGCCATTGGGCTGTGTCCCTTCATGGCATGTGTCACCACCATGGGGCTGTGGCCCTTCATGGAGGAGGACATGGGGACTGTGCTATGGTGGATGTTTCCCCTCACGAGGGTAAGACATGGGGGCCCTGCAGAATCTGTGTCCCCTCCTGGGGGAGGATACGGGGTCCCTTCTACGGGATTGTGTCTCCTCGGTGTGGGTGTCACCACCATGGGGCTGTCCCCCCTCAGGAGGGAGAGGACCATGGAGTCCCTTCCATGGGACTGTGCGCCCTGAAGATGGATGTCATGACCATGGGGCTGTGTCCCCTCAGGAGGGAGAGGACCATGGAGTCCCTTCCATGGTGGCTGTGTCCCCTAATGACGGAGGACATAGGGTCTCTTCCATGGGGTTGTGACTCCTCAATGTGGGTGTCACCACCGTGGGGCTGTGACCCCTCACAGAGGGTGCCATGACCATCGGGGTGTGTCCCCCCAAGAGGGAGGGGATCATGGGGTCCCTTCCATGGGGCCGTGTCCCCTCATGAGGGAGGTCATGGGGTCCCTTCCATGGGGCTGTGCCCCCCCGGAGGGAGGAGGTCATGGGATGCCTTCCATCGAGTTGTGTCCCCTCTGGAGGGAGAGGATCATGGGGGCCCTTCCATGGGGTTGTGTCCCCTCACGATGGGTGTCACCACTGTGGGGCTGTGACCTTTCACAGAGGGTGCCATGACCACGGGGCTGTGTCCCCTCAGGAGGGAGAGAATCATGGTGTCCCTTCCATGGGACTGTGTGCCCTGATGATGGATGTCACGACCATGGGGCTGTGTCCCCTCAGGAGGGAGAGGACCATGGGGTCCATGGGACTGTGTGTTCTGATGATGGGTGTCACGACCATGGGGCTGTGACCCGTCAGGAGGGAGAGGATCATGGTGTCCCTTCCATGGGACTGTGCGCCCTGATGATGGATGTCATGACCACGGGGCTCTGTCCCCCGAGAAGGGAGAGGATCATGGTGTCCCTTCCGTGGGACTGTGCGCCCTGATGATGGATGTCACGACCACGGGGCTGTGACCCGTCAGGAGGGAGAGGATCATGGGGTCCCTTCCGTGGGACTGTGCACCCGGATGATGGATGTCACCACCGCGGGGCTGTGACTCCTCGTGGGGCGTTCGGGCACTGCCATGGCTGTGCCCCCACAGCAGTGCCCGCTCAGCAGTACCACCGCCGCCTTCCCCCTCCTCCGGATCCTCCCTCCCTTCCTCCTCCCCGGGTGCCCCGGCAGCGCCGGCGCGGCCCGGCCCCGCTGCCCCGCACTACATTTCCCGGCGTGCCGGGCGCGGCGGGGCCGGAGCGGGGGCTGGAGCGGCCCCGGCGCTGCCGCCGCCCGGAGCGGGGAGTGCCGGGCAGGGCCGGGCAGGTGGAGCGGCCCCCATGGAGCGGGGGAAGATGGCGGAGCTGGAGAGCCTGGAGACGGCGGCGGAGCACGAGCGGATCCTGCGGGAGATCGAGAGCACGGACACGGCCTGCATCGGCCCCACGCTCAGGTGCGCGACCCTGCCCGGGCGCCGCGGGGGCACCGCGGCCGTGGAGGGTTGGGAGGGTGGCGGCGGTTCCCGGCGGTTCCCGGCGGTCCCCCCGAGCCCCCCGGGGCGCGTCCCCTCCCCTGCCCCCCCTCGGGCTTCCCGCGGGCATCTGTCAGAGTTCTCCCGGCGGGATTTATCCCTGGAAACCCCCGTGCTCGGTTTCCTTGTCGGGGCTGACGGTGACGCGGCGGGGACGGGGCGCGATCGCCGTCCCGACCGAGAGACGAGTTGATGCCTCTTGTTTGCTTAATGGATCCTTTGTTCTCCCGTTAAGCATCTTTTCCCCCGCGGTTCTTGCGGAATCCTCGGGCTGGGAGAGCCCGTGGCTTCGTCTGCGGGAGATGCGGAGCTCTCCCGGTGCCCGAGGAGCGCAGATGGATGTGGCTCCTTCCCATTCCCTTTGCCAGCAGCTCCTTCCCGTCGCTCCGGCTCTGGCGTTTCACCCCTTTAGGTGTTTGTTTTGCCCCAGTGGCTGCTGTGTTGTTCATATAAAAGATGTGGTAGCTGGCTGTGTAGCTCATCACTCGATTTCTTTAAAAATCTGATATTTTAGGTGAATTATGCACGTCTAAGACCTGTTCCTTTTAGCTGGACCACATCAGCATTGCTTGTCCTGAGATACTGAGATAACTCATCCCTCCTTCTCCCTCTTTAAATTAACACAGAAGTTCTCCAGAGAACTTTGTATCAACCCAAAATGTTTGCTGAGCCCAGGTGTGTGTGTTTTATCCTCTGGAATATCGATGGTGCAAATGGGTGGAGGGATATTTCTGGCTCGTTGTAAGCACATTGCTCAGGTGGGGGAAGGTGGAGGGGCGTTACCAGGATTGCTCAGCTGCAAAATCTAAATAGTTGTGTTGTCGCAGAGTTAAACTGGGTGCTAAGTCAGGTGTTTGTCATGGGGGGAACGAGGTGCTGCCCTGGGTTTCACCTTCCCCTTCCAACGGCTCTGCACCGACACAGGTGCTTCCAATGTTGAAATCGCAGCACCAGGTGGGAGCGTTTGGGGATAATCAGGATTGGAGCCTCCCGTCCCACCCCCTCTGCAGCAGCCCTTCCTCTCTTTGAGTTTTACAAAGTCATGGTTTTAAATGACTTGAGTGGCTGCCTTTAAAAATAAATGGGTTTAAGGCTGTGTGACTCGCAGCGATGCTGCAGTGCTGGCACAGGATGAAAATGGGAAAGCTTTTAATTTGTGGAGCGATGGAGCGCCGGATTTCCCTCAGGGTTGCCCGTTTCTTCGTTTTTGTGACTCCTTGCAGTTTTCTTCCTGAAGTTCTCCGTGAAACCTTTCCAGGTAAACTGAACAGTAGGAGATGGTGAGAATTAGATTTATTGACAAAACTGAAAGAACTGGTTTGAATGTGTGGGAACTGCCAGAATGAAGAGTGTGGGTGGCTTTTTTTTCCATTTAAGAGGACTAGGTGCAGTTGATCTTGTTTCTCGGTATTAAGGTTAGATGAGGAGTTGGGTTTAATGTTGATCTTTGCATACTCACAGGAGAAACATTAATAAGTGTCTGGGCAGAGAAAGGTTTGGGCTTTGCTTGCGTTGACTTTTAGAGTGTTGTGATACTTCTTGAGGAATATTATTAATGATATAATCATAACCTATACCTGCCCCAAGGATTTTTAGAGTTGAAACTTTACCAGCTCAGGGTAAACATGATGTGCTGGAGAGTCTGGAAAGGAGGATGGTGGAAACTTTTTGGGAAAAAAAAAAAAAAAAAAGGTGACTCACTTCTTGTAGGCATCATGGAAGAAATGTGTCTCCAGGAGCCAGGCTGGCTTCTCTTCTAGGAACAGCGTTCCCAAAGTGCAGCTCAGAGCTAGGCTGGACTGCCAGGACTTGTTTGCAGAGTTGTGCTTTTATCAGTTTCTGCCTGGGCACAGCGAGATATTCCGGGTGCAGCCGCTCCAGGGTGTCCTGGATTGCTGGATTGCCATCGTGGGAGGGGACAGAGGGGTTAAGAGATGGACTGGAAGGTCCAACTAATTCATCTGTCTGGGTGGGTTTGTGTCCCACCCAGCGGGGAGAGAGTTTTGTGTTTAGAAAAATAGCAAGTGTAGTAACTCTTGCCCTGGGGCAGGGGAAGGATGAGATCCCTCCTTCCTTGAAGTCCCTTCCAGCCCTGTTTTTTGTGCTCAGTTCTGGCTGGGATTCTGGGAGTCGGTGGCATGGGCCGGAACTCCATTGTGCCGGCACTGTGCAGATGTGGGGCCCGGCCTGCCCCTCCTCAGGGACAGGCACAGCTTCCTAAAAATAAACTGCCCCGGCCCTGGTGCGTGTGATGAGCTGTGCCAGTCCCATCTCTGGCTCTGGAGCCGTCCAGGTCTCCTCTCCCGTTTTTTTTCCTGACAGGGAATGTTGTGTTTGAAGGACACCGAGTGCCTTCAGTGAGTCTGTGGGGATCTCCTTGAGCCCACGATGCTCCTGGAATCAAAATAATCCACTTCAGGATGTCTTTCCTGCTATTCAGCCTCTACTAATTATACCCATTGCTCCTAATTCCACTTCCTTCTGCTGTTCTAATTCCTCTTTTTTCGTCCTTGCTGGTGTTCCACTTGATTTTACGGAGTATTTTTGGATCTCCTCTCTGTGTAGGTTTTGAAGAATCACTTAATTCTGCAGGATCAGGAAGGAGAAGAGAAACCCTTTCTAGCTTAAAACCACTTCTTGGTTAAGCTGTGACAGCTGAGTGCTCTGATTTATATTACAGTTATTTGAAGTTTGTTGCTCTTTAGTGAATTTTGTGTCCATTTCAGGTGTGTTTATTTGTTTTTTTAAGTGATGGGAAACTAGTGGTGGCCTGTAATGTAACAGCTCTGGTCACTGGGAGTGAGGATGGATAACAGCGAGGTTTTCTTGTGTCACACCCCATAAATGTGGGCTGTATAACTTCGCCCCCCTTCCCTGTGCTCAGCCAAGGGTGAGTCCTTGTGATTATCTGAATTGCAAATCGTTTTTACAGCAGTTCTTGGTCCCAGCCTGAGGATGTTTTGCCGTCCTTCCCTTCCCTGTGCTCCTCTGCAGTGTCCTTTAACACCTGGTGTCACCTCACCCTTCAGGTACAGCCTGGGATTAAGTCACTCCTTAATCCTCCTTTTGGTTAAACAGCTTGAGCTCTGCGAGTCTGTCACTCTTGAAAACCCCTTTCCTGCTCTCAAGCTGCATTTGCAGCTTTTTGAAGTGAGTGAAGGATTTTTAAGCAGCGCTTGATAAATACAAGGAATTTTTAAACCCCATTTGATCAATCGAAGCAGCCCTGGCTGCCCACACAGGTGTAGCTACAATGTTCTTTGCTCTCTCCTCACCACTTGAGATGCACATAAAATTATATCACCACTGTTAACAATCTCCCACTTGTACCCTGGGAGGTTGGGGCAGGTCTTTTCCTCAGTGTTCTAACAGGAATTGTTCCTGCATGCAGAGTTGTTTCCTTGGGAGCTCAGGTATCCCTGTGCTCCTCATCACTACATCTGCACCTTCTCTCTTGGTTCTCCTGCACTGCAAGTTGCTGGGGAGGATCAAGACTTCCAGGGGATTGTTCTCTGCTTGATTTCATGGCTTGTTACCCTGCCAGCTTTTGTGTCATCTGCAAATTATATCACCAGTCTTTTTGTTTCCCTTTGGATGTGTATTTGCTTTCTAGGTTGTTCCTTGGTGCCTGAGGTTTTATCCAGGCGTGTTGGGACTGGTACTTAGCAGTGCCCTGCTGGAAACCTGAGAAAAGTTCTATCTCAGACAGCAATTAATCATCCAGTCTGTGCTTTTATGTAGAACTAGAGCAGATATGAAACTCCTATTAAATGTAATCGTGTGTGTTCAGAGAGATCACAGGGCTGTTTAACCCGAGAATGAAGTGAAGCACTAGATTGGGTCGTGTTTCTACTAAGCAGCTCCTGACTGGGATTAAAGTAGGACTGTAATTAAGATGTGTTCCCTAAATCCTTGATCAACTCTTCCATGTCAGTGTGTGGGATTAGTGTTGCTCTGGCTGACCTGGGTGTACCTGCCTGATCCGTTTACTGGACTGGCGTCGTGCCGTGGCCGTTCCCTGCCATAACCTCCCCGTGCCCAGGTTTGTCTGGAACAGTGGAGCCAAAGGTCCTCACTGCCTGTTTTCTTTTTAGGGTTATGAATCTTGTGTCTTGGATGCTTGCAGATTGTGGAATCATGGAATGGTTTGGGTTTGGAAGGGACCTTAAAGCTCATCTCGTTCCACCCCCCTGCCATGGGCAGGGAAACCTCCCACTAGCCCAGGTTGCTCCAACCTGGCCTTGGATGCTCCCAGGGATTCAGGGGCAGTCACAGCTTCTCTGTCCAACCTGTGCCAGGGCCTCCCCACCCTCCCAGTAAAGAATTTCTTTTAATTTCTTCCAAAATGTTTTCATTTTGGACTACTGGATATAACAAACCTCACTTCCCACAGGGACATCACCTCAGGTCCTTCTTGGTACCCTCTGGCTCTGACTGTCTGTGTGTTGAGAGCCCTGAGCTGGGTCTCTGGGGGCCAGAGGTGCTGATCCTGCTGGCATTGTTTGGTGCCACCTTGGATCCAGGCTGGAGCAACGTGACAGTGCAAACAGCAGCAGCTTGGCTCAGGTCCTGACTCCTGAGCTGGGACTGGGGGATGTCCTCGGGTTTATTTTCTCCTGTAGCTTCACGTGGAGCTGAGCTGGAACTATGACTTGTTCCTGTGTCATTCAGGTTTCTGGTGCTGAACTTGGAAAACTGAGGCTTGGCTCTTGGGCATGAACGTAAGGATGGAGTCCAGCAAGTGCTGGGGCTCTTGCTTAGCCCCTCTGAGCTCCCCAGCGGGTCCTAAGCTGGAAGTTGAGACATTGCTACAAGTCCTGCAGTAAAGTCTGTTGGAAAAGGGATCTGGATGGAAAAATAACCCAGCTAAACAATGTTTTGCTGTGTGGTAGCACAAATGCTGTTTCCAGCCCAGGGAGGAG